AACTACGTGTGCGCCAGTGTTGAAAGACGGTATTGATGGTGTGTAAGGAAGCGAGTGGTTAACAAATCGTGCATATTTCCTACTTTTCGTTCGTTAAGATAAATTATATACGTAGTCACGATACTCGCAAGATCTTCGAAGGAGAAATAGCTTTGCATTTGTCTTGGAGATTTGTTTTGATCTCATCGTCGGTATATAAATATTTTACCACGTTGAAGATTGATTAGTATAATTTTGCAACTCGATCGTTACACTATCGTTAGTTGTAAGTATTGTTGTTTCCTTGAAAATTTATTTTTAATTATACAGATATTCGATATTAATATCGATCGAATTAGTTTGTAATGTATTATTGGTTAATATTTGGAATATTCGTTTTTTTTTTTTTTGAAAAACTTTTATACTTTTTGTTTTCATATTTATTATTATATATTGTTCTTGAAATTAGTTTTCTCTTGACACTTTCACCTGCGAGAAATATTATATGTATGCAGTTATAAACTATTCGTCGATTTCGAAACTCGTTGACGAGTTTACGAAGGAAGACGGAAATATTTGAACGTGGAAATTAATCATATGTACAAAAACTTTTCCGATCGAAATTTTCATTCTCTCATGCACTCAGTATCTCAGTCAAAAATTATTTCTTTTCTTTTTCTTTTATGTACATATGTATACTAATAATTTTTCAAGTATTCAACGCGAATTCTTCAAGAACTCGTTGATTCGTTATATTAATTCTAACTATCGAAATGATATGTTCCAGGTGCCGAATGGAAACTCTTAACGGAGGATGAGAAACGACCCTTTATCGATCAGGCGAAAAGGTTACGGGCCCAACACATGAAGGAATATCCAGATTATAAATACAGGCCTAGAAGAAAACCGAAAACTTTACGGAAAGAAGGATATCCTTACAGTATTCCATACCCTAGCGTGCCTATGGATGCATTTCGTACCGGTGAGTACCGATATATTTAATAAATCAATTTCCACAAATAACACCTATTTATTTAACGACAATAGTTCAAAATCGTTATTACACTAAAAAAAAAAAATTAAAATTACTATTCATTTTTTTAATGATAATTTTTCAAATTTCATCGAAGCTTTTCCAATTCCTTTCACGAACTTCCTTCATATTTATTTCCATTTCGTATCAAATGGTTCGCTCCCCTGGAAATACAAATTTCCAAAAATTCCTCTTCGATCTATCTTCTCATTACTTTATTCCTATTTTACGCGATCTTTCCTTTGACCTATCCATCTATTAAAAAAAAGAAGGAGAAGAAAAAGAAGAAGATCTCGATATCGCAACCCACCCATTAATCTTCACCGATCGCAAAAAGAAAGGATCTTTCACAATCCGCGCGCAATTATCCCTTTTTGAAACGCCCTCCCCCTGCTCGCCCTGATACCGAGGAAACAATGCAATTACGATAGGCGGGAACGGAGGAGGCGAGGATCGATCCCTCCGAGGAAAACCTCGCGATTCGGAGGTGTGTTGCGGGCGTGGAACAATGGAGGAAGAACAGTTTCGTCTGTTCGTGGCTTTGATATTCTTTATCTCTCTTTTCTTTCCTTTTTCCTCCCTTTATTTATTTTTTTTTTTTTTTTCGTTTTCAGCCGCGCATTGTTGGCGGCGATGCCCCCC